TTGTCCCTTATCGCGTTGTCGAGGGATAACACCACACACGATTGTGTGGCTGTTCACACTTTTCGTGCCAGCACTGTCGGTAAATAAAGATACCTGCACTCGGAACGGCAGGCTGTTGTTGGCGTTCACCTGACACTCAACGCAAGAAGCTGAGTCGGTGACAGCCCACCGCAGTTGTCACCGAAGCTGTGCATTACGCATTTTGCCGCACTAAAATTAGCTGCGATTTACTAAATAATCCTCTCGTTCCGCTTTCTGGATGTCAAGTCAACGAGGGGAAGGGGGTGACTCAACCCTTGCACCGTATCATTGAGAGAGCGCGGATAGCGCCGCTTACGTAATGTATTCGCCTTCATTCTATATTTTGAGTAGGCGGGATACAAGTGCGTCAGTCCGCCGGTCACCTTCCAGATCATGCGGGGCGTGCTCGGTTAGATCTTACAATTCGGACGCGGTGCTTTGGAGGCGTCGAGACGCACACAAAAAGTGTGTGAGTTCCGGAACGGTGGTAATCAGCCCCTTATCGAGCCCTCCGAAATCCAATGGTCACCCACCTGCTGGCCGTCTATCTCCACTGCCTATTTTGGGGAGGTCTATAAAGTCCTTATCTTTCTTTGCCCTAGCGCTATTTTCACGCCGTCGTACGGTTCATTGGTGAAGAGTTCCTATCCCTTATTTTCGAAGTTTTAGATAAATCGCATACTTAACCTAACCCGGTTTACATCCCCGCAGAGTTAACGACTTCAAACCCAGTCATATCCCATCAGTACGTTCACGCCAATCAAAGAAGTCCAGTTCCTCACAGTGGGTGCATAAACAAAATCCCACCAGTCAAAGTTGAAGAGCTTTTTGTAGAGACATGATTGCATCCAGAGCTGTTGTGGCGCAATCCCCATGGGAAGATCCCAGTGATCTCGAAGCCTTTTCCTAGGCTCGACTTTAAACTGCCGGAGGGCATTTTGGTTGTTCGACTGGCACATCACTCAGTCAATCTCAATCCGTCTAGTCGGATTCAATTTCTCCTCAGCTACGAACAACATCACTTTTGTTCTCTGGTCATCGACTTTTGCCAGCTTTACGACTTTTTGAATTAGTGGGAATCGCTTTCGGATTTATCTTGGAAAATAATTAGAAAATGTATATGATGTCGTTTAGAGCCGATTTTGCTCATTTTAATGGGTTGGCCATTGATGGGCGTTCAAATAGAACTTAAGAAAATAAAATCTTGATTTGACTTGAGTCCTCTTCACTTCAGAAGATTCCTTTGGTCTGCTGAATGTTGTTTTTTACGATTCTTCTGAATAAATGAAGCGAAGTGGCGTCGGAAAATTACCCCACCAATCGGTTGTGTGCGGAGCGCGCCATGAACCAGCTGTTCACCCAAATTTCTGTAAACTTTGGGAAGGCTCTCCAGGCCAGAATTTCCAGTCCATTATTGTCTCAAGTGTCAGATTTATGCTTGCAATCACTGAAGCAAGTCAACATAGTAACGAGCTCCGGTGCAACGAGAGATGGGTGGTTTGGGAATTCGATCTCATTGACAACGAACTCACTGGTGCGCCTCTACCTACTATGCCATCTTTTTCCCGATGAGGAGTGTAATTGTCATGTGTGGAATATGATCTGGAGCAAAAAGCTCTCTAGATTACCCTGAAAGTTTCCATAGTAACTAATGCGCAGAATAAATAGCTTCTTCATTGCCTTAATTGCAAGGCAAAGGAATTAAAGGCAAACCTTCCTTATTAAGGTTTCACGTCACGGGTTACGGTGTTTTTCTAATCAAAGTTTGCCCTTGCTCCGAATATAATGCTTCTGATGACGATAGACGGATTATAAGTACATGTAAACAGCGAAATCGGGAGCCCTTAGCGTAATCCTTTCCAAACTTAGAGGCACGGTCGCGATCACCTTCTAGAGAAATCCTATCCATGGGGGAGGTGGCAGGGTCTCTAAGCTCCGCTGTCGTGAAACTGTTGCGACTCGGAAGCACTACAAGGGCGCTAATGCTTTCTCGTGACCGCTGCGACCGCTGCAGTTTATCATACGCAACATGCGTGATACCTGTAACCTCTCGTGCAATGTGCTCTTTCGTGTTTTCCTCTTCTCACAGCTCTGTGCCTCTTCGTCAACTTCACAAGGAACAAGACTCTTGATTTCAGTGTTTTCTATGGTCCCTCATTTTAGGGCAAATTAACACCAAGCGATTCGAACCCTCGTTTCAAATAGAAAAGGGAGACATTTTAGGTCTCGGTTCTTTGCCTTGAATATGCGCTGCTCGAGCTCTTGACTTCTTGACTCTGGCTGACTGGCTTGACTTCTTCTTGACTTGGCTTTCATCCTCGTATCCCTTTTGGCTAGGCAAAATACCTGCGTGAAATCGTATCGTATCCTCGTATAGGCAAATGCGGATCTACCTCGTTGTCAGCCGAGCCATCCCGTGGGCTGCAGCTGCGTCATTATCTATTCTGGTACGGACGGCGTTCTTGGTGCGTCATGTCCGGTACGCGTTATTGCCCATATTGGTTTGTGATCAGCGTCGTTAATCGGAAAACTCGTGGTTAATGGCCGAGGTAAGTAAAAAAGCTGACAACGGGTTCTCCAGTCAGAGACGGTGACAATCATACGAACGGCGCCAGTGTTATCCTTTACTGGAATACGGTAAATTCGCCTCTGAGGGGAACTTTTTGCCTCAGGGAACTTATAGCAGCATGCGGTAGAAGGATGTCGATGGTGATATCAACCTGCTTTTTACGCTAGGGTAAACCCCTGAATGATCACAGTATCATCTTTCTAGCCATTCCTGTCGCTTTTGTCTCTCGATTGGCCCTTCGGTCATTCTTCGAACGCTTTGGTTCTCTTTACTTCCTTCTTTCTCCCCTTTCTTCGACTGATCCCATGCGTGACTGAAGGCTCCTTCCTCGATTTCCCCTGGTGAACTCAGTATGGTCTCTCGATCTCCCGCTCTCCTTTTTACCTTCCCTGTGAACTCTCCGTGATCTTTCGGTCTCCATGCTCCGCGCTAACGTTTCCCGCACAGTCGGAAAGCCTTTTTCACGATTCAGCGCTAAGCACCCGCATTCCCACGTCATGTTGTCGCAGGCAGCTCGCTTTTTATCAGCATCGGTGGGTGCATTCCCAATGGGGCGTAGCGCTGTTGAGATGCGTCATTCCTTCCCACTGGGCTTTAAATAATCGCACCGTTTATTTTCTCTCCCCATTCCAAGCGACATCGTTGTTGTGCTGAATTTTAGAAATCAGTGCTGTCTTTCACGGAGCTTTAGTAAACGCCAACGCCGCGCCTCTAAACAGGCATCAGTTATGCATGATTTAGCTTTCTGTAAGCTCCTCCTTCTCACGAGAGCTCATCCCACGCGGGCGTAGGAACCGCTGTTGTCATCACGTGGGATCATTCGCTTCTAATGGCTTAGGTGCAGTTTGTTTGCCACATGGCTATATAGCTCTCAAAAATCCTTCATAAGCTCCTGTTTTTAGCTGCACATGGCTTTTTAGGGAGAGTAGAGTTTTCAACCGGATTGGCTCTATCACATTAGCTCTTCTTCAAACCGTCGCGAATAACTCCGTCCAACGAGTGGAACATTGGGCGCCAATTTTTTCCTTTCTGGGATCGCCTTGCATTTTTTCCTCTTTTAGAATTGTGTAGCATATAAGCCCCTCTGTGCGACTTCTATTGTGGGACATCCGATGTTGTGACTGGACGTTGAACACCCTTTCAAGTGAACCTCAGGTTCCACCAACAGACTCCTATGGAGGGCTTCATGGCCTGGTTTGATTCGGAACTTTGACCCGCGGCTCGAACCCACGGTAAGCAGTGCCAATCGCCGTGTCATCTCTGCCCATCCGTTCGTAGTTCTGACAAAAATTCTGGCGTAGCTTGTTTTTTCAACTGCGTTTACCCATTGCCGAGTAACGCGAGCTGCGCGCATTTTTCATGTGAATATTTCACAAGAATACTGGGTGATGAGGAAAACGCGTCGTTCTGCTCACAACCCAGTATTCTTGCGAAATATTCTCACCGTGTAATTCCTCACATCACACTCCTGTGTATGTCACGGGCGATGTCGACGCAGAACGGTTTCAGTCCAATTATTGCTTATCAATTCAAAATGATCAAATCAGGGGCTTAAGAGTTCTGCACATGGGAAAGTCCGAAAAGATGCAGAGATTGGTCACTCAGGTAGTGTAAATATCTAGGTCGGGTTAAAGTTGCCATTGCGACGATGCGTGCTTTTCGAGGCTAAAGGCTATTTGAACCCTTTATGAGGGAATACGGGAATGATGTAGTGGCAGAATTTTGGCAGCAGACAGATCATTCTGGTTTCCCTGGCTCAAATTTCGGAAATTCCGAGATATTAAGGAGTTCTTAATCCCTTCAGAGAGAGATGCTCTTTGAGGTTTCCATGAGCGAGTTCTTCTTCTCTGTTGTCCTCCAGTATTTTCATCAATTCCATCCAAATAGCTGATATCACGAAGAATTCGAGGTGACATGGAAGTAGATGGGGTGTATGTTTTTCTTGCATTCTAATCAATATCCTGTTTTCCTAATCCTTCTCTTCGTATAATTAATTTAATTAGAGATGCTAAGTAAAAAACCTGGGGAAGTCACGCGGGCAGAGTCCACGACGGACGAGTCGCTCGGTTCGGCATTCATCGGCTGATGCCGTTGCAAAGAGGCGTCGCTTCTCTACTGACACTCTTGCCTCTGAACTTGTCTCATCATTGGCTCCAGCAGTCGTTGCACATATCAACGATCCGCTTCGCGACCGCGCGCAAAACTGTTCGCCGAATGACTTGAAGAGGTGCGGATTCGGAATCGAAGAACATAATTTTCTCGCCTGGTTGCGCGCATTAGTGCTATCTCCTCTTTTTAACCCTTTCTTCGTCACGATGTCATCATCCAGATGTATTAATCTGTTCTCTTATATCGACAACGTCATTTTGTTGATATTTTCGAGCTTCAGCTATTTTGTAGCGAATTTCAGATGACGACGGCTAGTCGTTTCCACGTCGCGGCATGCCCAACGCTGACCAAATTCTGCGAAACCCGCCCGTCGCCGACGATGCGCCGTGACGAGAAGATTCGTGCGCTGGCACGATCCGTACAAGAAATCACAGAATCCTGAAGAAGAGGACGAATCCCAGGTTGGTACAGCTCATTACGCGCGGTAGCAGAAAATAGTGAATGTGTGCCGGCTTTTGGTTGTGAATAGCTGGGTGAAGTGAATCGGGAGAACAAAGGCACTCCTTCATTGTTTACTGGCCAAAACTAACTGGGAAGCAACTACACTAAAAGCAGCCATGTAGATATTGGCGTAAAGGGGAGGGGGAAGGGGCGACTCCATTGTGATCTGCGATGAGGATCAAGATAAGGACGTTGATGACGCTAGGTGAACAGCTTTGATAACCCTTCGATTTGAAGGTTTCTATTAGCACCGGCTGAATAGCCTGGTATGAAGAAGAGAAGCGCTCTTCGGTCAAGGGCAAGCTTTTCTCTAGGCCTGAGGGGAAAGGGGATGAGCAGGGAACAGCCCCAAAGTGGGTAGACCGCTGACCAAGTGCGAAAAATTAGATTGCATTTACTTTACTTGGGACACATCCCCGGTTCTTCAAGCTTCTCATGGTTAGCGCGTTATCGAAATTCTTATCCTTACCGCTAGAGGTATTTTTAGCGTTAGACGCAGAGAACAAGGGAGTGCCCCTCCCCAATGTCATTTTCACAGATAGTTGTGAACCTATAATAATCATGTTCTTCAAATTCCAATTGGTCCGACTTCTCCAGCCAATAAAATTCGTATTTCTGTGGGCAGCCGTGGTTCAGCTCTAGTGTCACAAACGAAATGAAGCCATCAGAGCCAAATTATGAATGCTTTGTTCCAGGTATCTTCGCCACAGCCCTCCGTGCGCTCTCCGTTCGCGCTCGTTGAGTCTCCAATTTTGCAAAGACGTTCTGTTTCCCTGAGTAGCCCTATAACGGCAAGGTTAGTATACTCTCAGTCATGAATTTTTTTTTTTTTTCGATGAAAAGAACTGTGGATTTCATGGGAGTGTCTGGGAGGGTAAATAGCGTTCACTGGAACCACCTTCATTTTTGCTACCCTTTCACTTTCATCTTGCGTCTAGGATTTTCCTCAGGCGAACAATAAAAGGTTGCGATAGCATCAAAACTGAGATTAGCGATTGGCATGGTCAGGAAGGACGATGCTGTGCCAGCGAATATCCGGCACGTCGCGAAGTATAAACTCATTAAATCGAAAAGTGAACTTGCTTTTCCTGAGTTACTGCAAGTACTTGGTACAACTTCGTCCACTTATCAACTTTTGGCAAGAGGCGGTTGGATTGCACATTAGTGGGAATAATGAATGAACCAGGAGAGATCACTTCACATATTCCACATATTACATATTTCATCAACTGAACCCAACACATAACTCATGCGTCACGCGATGCTTCAGCGGTAACAGCTGGATCGACCTGAATTTTTGGGTTTAGCTCACGTCGATGCACGCCATAATTCCATCAGTCCTCTTATTCTACATCTTCCACAGTCTCCACCCTATTTCAAAACTTATTTGACTTTCTGATTCTAACCCCGCCCACTTTGGTAACCGCTCTGCCCATTGTCTGAGCGTTTCAAACATAATCAGCACACCTCGGCATGTTTCCGGACATAGCGCCGCAATACGCATAGTTAGTTGGATCAAATCTGCAGAAGTTGAGCCATTTTCTGAAGCGTTTCAATTGCAGGCATTGCATTACGAAGCGATTGGCTCGCGGTCTCTCCGATCCTTGTATTCGACGTCCGAGTTTCAGCTCTCAACAACTCAGCCCGAAGATTCCAGAAGAGAATCTAGGTAATTTTTTGTCTTTGATCAGGGTAAAGTCTTCAATGAGTTGCGAACACTGCACGGTATTAAGACGTTGTTGAATATTTGCTACCAAAACTAGTGTTCGATGATGCTCCCTGTGTCATTGAAAGACTAATCCATGGATGGGGATGCCTGTACTGCTCTCAGCGCGGAATGCTAAACTGAGCTGTCTGCAGAGTGAGCAAATCGCGAAAAACGCCACCTGTGTGCATAAATAATCTTTTCGTACGCAATCGAGTAAGGCTCTTATATTTAAGCCATGTTATCACACACAAGCATTACGCACGACTGAATTATCCTGATGGAAGGTCAGAGACGAACGGAACTGCGAGAGGAGATAATTTTGGGTGGTCCGAATAGATTCTTGCTTAACAAGGACCAAAAAGCGTATCTAGGGTGCGCGAAAAGTATGCGCTCGCACGCCACCACAATCTAACAGTGGCGGTTACAACCCTGTAGCTAAAACTTCAACGGGGCTTGTCAACCAAAAGTGAGATTGTAGATGAAAAAGCATATGTTTTGTGTAAGTTTGGCGGGCTAAGGCCAAGCTGTGAAGGAACTAAACTAAGCAGAGACGTTCTGATAGTGCCTCCGCGAGAGCTCTCAGAGAGCACTACAAAATGCTGAATTGCCTAGCCTTACGTTTGGCAGAAATCCTGAAACCAGCCGGACCCTGAAATCATGTCTTTTTTCTGCTCTCAAATGTGCCACTGCACCCTAATCCTTCGCAGCAGGACTGTCTGGACCTTCTGGAACATGAGTAGAAATATTCGTCCTGGAGGGGTCCCAAAACTGCCTCTCTCGACCCTTGCCCCTGTTCTTGACCATGGCGATTGCGCATCGGCCACTTTGCGCAGAATTTTGAATCCGTCTGACTGGGTACTGCCACACACGGCCCCTGCTGAATCTTGTTGCAAAAAGCCAAGGCGTAGAGACAGAAACCACAGCGGAAAATAGCCGCGCTTCGATGGGTTTATACTAATTTCCGCGCTTTTTGTCACACGTGGACGCCTGATATGTACTTTTGGCACATACCAGGGTAACGGTGGGACATTTAGAGCTAGGTGGAGTGCTCAGAAGGTGTGCAACTTCTGATCTAACGGCTTACCTAGGTAATGGAATTTTAAAGGATTCA